AACACAAAGCCTGTTTTATAATAAAGTGTTGACTATCTCAAGTGATTTATTATGTATATTGCTTTCACACCATTGTAAAGTTGAAAAATCATTAAGTTGAACCATCGTAAGTTAGGGACTATCTTTATTGACATAGATCTTACACCTTTCACAAAAAGTAAAATGGGTCATATACCTAAATGTAAAATGCAAAACTGTAACACTCCCAGAAGATAATACAGGAGAAAACTTTTGGTCACTTTTTAGATATGATACCAAAAGCACGATCCGTGAAAGAAAAAAAAAAAAACTTGGTAAGTTGGACTTCATTAAAATTAGAAATATTTGCTCTGTGAAAGACATGGTTAAGAAAATGAAAAGACAAACCATAGACTGTGAGAAAAATCTTTGAGAAACACATATCTTACAAAGGACTGGTATCCAAAATATACAAATACTCTTAAAACAATAATTTAAAAAACAACCCAATTTTAAAGTGGGCGAAAGATCTGAACAGACACTTCATCAGAGAAGATACATTGATGACAAATAAGTATATGAAAAGATGCTTTACATCATTTGTCCCCAGGGATTTACGAATTAAAACAACAGTGAGATACCTCTACACACTTGTTGGAAGAGCTAAAGTCTCAAACACTGATGAGGATGTGGAGCAACAGGGACTCTCACTGCTGATGGGAATGCAAAATGATACAGCCACTTTGGAAGACGGCTGGGCAATTTCTTACACAGCTAAACATAATAATAGCATACTATGCAACAATCATCCACCCAGGTATTTACAGACAGTTGAAAACTATGTCTACACAAAAACCTGCACAAGAATGTTTATAGCTTTATTCATAATTGCCAAAACTTCGAAGTAACTGAGATGTCCTTCAGTAAATGAATGGATGAACTGTGGTGCATCTAGACAATGAAGTATTAGCACTAAAAAGAAATGAGCCGGGCTGACCAAATGGCTCAGTTGGTTGAGAGTTGGCTTGGGAGGGTGAGCTCTGAGCAGCAGGGCCACCAGTTCAGTTCCCACATGGGCCAGTGATGCTGTGCCCTCTATAGCTAAGATGGTGAACAACAGCTTGACCTGGAGCTGGGCTGCCGTGAGTGGCCAGCGACGGTGTAGGCTGCAGCCCCTGTGCAGTGTGCTGCCGTGAGTTGCTGTGAGCTACCTTGAGTAGCTACCTTGAGTGGCTGACAGCCAGCGTGAGCAGCCGGCAGCTGGCGAGAGCTGCCGTGAGCCGCTGTGAGCGGCCATCCAATGGCCGGCGAACGACTACCTCAGCCGGGAAGAGCGCAATGATCACAATACCAACATGG